TGCTACACGAACAAAACAAAAAGTTGTCTAGTTAAAATATATACCTATATACGGAGTGTGTGTGTGTGTGTGTATATATATACATACATGCATACATACATACATATATATATATATATATTAAAATATGCACTGTATCATACCACGTGGAGTTCTGCGGGTCCTGGGATCCTGTGAGACTCTATGTGGATCTGCATATGCAACAAATAATGATTATGTAAATCAAAATCTCAATGTGGGTTAGTCTAGATTGCAGAACTTGCAGAAGTATTTCCTGGACTTATGACATTAAAAAATATTGACCTGTCTCCTGCAAGTTGGATTGCTGTTGCTTGGTATGTGACCATTGTAATTTTTTCCATATAGCGATTATTTGTAATGGTTTTCTATCATACCACTTCAAGTCACCATTTTTTAAAATTATTTATAATAAATTTTATTTCATCAGGTACCCTATTTATCACATTCCAATGAAGGGAAATTGCAAGAATTGTCTGTCAACATGCTTCCTCACATATCATACTCTCTCCTCATCTTCACAAGGTATAATTTTTATGAAATGTTATATTCAACAGATAGAATAGTATTATATTTGATCTAATCTTTCATTGAAAAAGTTGATAGAGCCATTTAGGATTTATATAGGATATATCAGAGCTTTATAAAATAATATGATAAGTAATAACATACACTTGAATAGAAAAGGATCATTTGAAAGGTGCTCCCCCCTCCTCCCAAGTCTCCACATTCTCATCAAAGGGTCCAGGCTAGGGGTGAGCATGGGGTCGGTTTCGGCCCAAAACCGAAATAACCAAAAAAAAATTGATTCACAACCGATCCAAACCGACATTGACTTTAAAACCGAAGCAACCGAACCGATTATAACCGACCGAAGCCGGTCGGTTTTTATTAACCGAACAAGTTGGACGGAGTTGTTGAGAAACACTTCCTGTTGGCTCTTAAGAAACAGGAGAAACTGGACATGGCAGATGAATCATATGAGAGGCTGTCTGGGAAATAGTTCAATATAAGAGTAGTAGGATTAGATGATTGGGGTTTGCTTTCTTCCAAAAGCTGCTGGAAAACTAAAAATTAGGATATCCAAAAATCACGGTATGCCTTTAAGCACTAAAACCTGAAGAATTCAATCACCTTATAACCTAAATCAAAGAATAAACAATAAATTTCAGGGATGAAAATGGAGAATCAAAGCAATCAGGAAGGAAAACTATTGCTTTCCTGGGGTAAAATATTCACCGAAGTGATCTGATCGGTTCTGTTCAGAAGCAACAACAACTCCGTCCAGCCCACATCACTCTGTAAAGGACACGATTTATTCCTCTTGAAATTTGGAGTGGGCTGTCTACATGTTATTTGGGCTTCAAAGTGAATCATTTTAATTTATTAAACATGCATAAAATATGGATCACGGTTATTTGGTTAACCGAATAAACTGAATTCAAGAATTGAAACCCAAACGAATAAATGAAGAAACCAATATTATGAACATTGGTAACCAAAATCGAAACCAATTTTTCGGTTATTTCGGTCTTTGGTTTCGCGGTCGGTTCAGTTAATTTGCTCACCCCTATCCAGGCATATGGTCAAGTGGGACAAGTTCAAGAGCAACTAAGGTGTCCATGTGGGTAGAGGACCGGTTAAAGGATTGGTTTACCCTTTCCACAAAAGAGTATGAAGATGGTGAGGAAGATGATGGTTGGCCGGGTTGGAAACTCGACCCACAAGACTCGTCAAAAATATTCTAACTATCATGGGAAGACATAACTAATTTCACCTGCCTAGAGAATTAAAAGGATTGGCTTGAAGGACGTAATTGGAAGGCTAACAAGACTTAGAGGACTCGAGGTGTTATGGTCAACCAGGTGTCGCTATGAGAGTGAATGGTGTAAAAATTAAGGATAAAAAGGGGAGAAGGAGTTTATATAGGGATAAGGACATCGAGCCCCACATCCATCCGGTGGTACGGACAAATTGCAAAGTGACATGGGGCATTAGGTAAGGATTGTCCTCAGAGCATCCTTATTACTCTATGGGGATACAAAACGACATGATGTTCCTCAAGTATTTTCGACTATAAGTGAAAGGGAAGCAATAAAATTTGGTTTTGAAGATTAAAATTCAATATAGATGGATGTAACCCAACATTGACCTGATCAAAAGAATAGCCTTGGATGTATAGACCAAGAATCTTGGTAAAAGATGATCATGAAATGTTTATGTTCCAAGGAAACATTTTGATTGTCATCATGACTGGGAATGTGATTGATTTTGTGCCCAGGCATCTTCCGGGAGCTTGACCAGTCTAGATCTATGGATTCAAATCAAGTTATTTACCAAACGTCATTCTTGACCAATGATGAACCTGCAAGACTAAACCGAGAATAAGAGCATAGGGGCCTAGTTGAACTAGGACCCATCCGCTATAAAACTAGACCAAACACATAATGTGTGAAATCACTTTGGGGTCACTAAGATGTCAGAGTCAAAGTTTTAAGGGGTAAAATCCAAGTGCAAGAGCACAATCATATAAGGGATTTATCCTCAATTCCTCATTGATCACATGGATACAGTAAGGTCACATGTAATGATGTTTCAATATTCATCTATAGATACTCCTGTAAATCCTGAGTATGTTTGTGTGCAGTAATGTACACACTATGTAGGAACTTGAGGGATGAAAGAGTTCTAGGTTTACCTCTTCTAACATTCTTGGATTGAGGTATAAGAGGCTTACGGTTAGTTTGGTGCAAGTCAGGAAACCTATTGCATCAAGAATATGTAACTTGAAATATCGATATAATTACTTACACGTCCATGTTTTCTGTTAAAATGAAGCATATATATGCAATTATAAATATGTTGCCATTATTTTTGAGAAATTTGATTAGATCAATTGATGGTCCATATTTGTCTTTCCATCATCTCCGATGAAGCAAAAAATTCACTATTTTTTTGGCTTTGGGGTGTGATGGAATAAAACAAAATGGATCTCTAAACTATTTGCACTTCTTTAATTAATGAAGTAGCAGTTAGTCAATCAATGCAACTTTTGACGTTGAGCTGGGTCTCTTTGGAAATAGCCTCTCCACTTTCGAGTAGGGGTAAGGTCTGCGCACACACCCACCCTCCCTAGACCCTACTTTTGTGGGATTAAATCGGTTGTTGTATTTGTTTTTATGTCTCTCTGCTTATTTGCTTCGTATGTATTACAGTACCATTTAGTATATGTGTGCATTTGACTATTGATCCATTTACTCTTTTCTCATTAGTTTCACTTGCAAAATAAATGGCAGTTTCTAAATCTGATGAGGATGAAAACAAAATGTATGACTTGGTGAATGAAGAGGGAGGCGATTTTGATAGTATTGAGGATTCTCTTTATCCCTTTGGATTGGCCACTTATAGACTAGAGGAAGACATTTGGATGGATTCACTAACATATGATGACTATGAGACAATAGTCGATCTCTATAGCGCGGCCGACTCTTGGTTAAAGCAACTAAACTTCTGGCATCATGACTTCAACTTCTTCACTTCTCAATTCTCTATCGAGGGATTCTCTTCATAATTCCATTCACATCTTCGACGTGGTGTCATGTATGCTTCAGAATATACGGAGTATATCCTAAGTATCATTATTGAAACAAATGTTGTATTTTAAGTACTTTTGACCATTAGTTGAACTTTGTAAATGTACACATATTTTATGTTACTTGAGTTTTTTTGCTTTATTTGTCAATCTTATTGTGTATGTGTGTTGTGCGTATTAAATAGTGCCCAAGTACGTAGTAGATATGACCATTATCTTACTAATATTATGTACTCCCTATTTGATTCAAATACATTGAAGAAATGTTGAGTTTAACTAGTTTTGTCATCTACCAAGTACCAATTATTGATCCTCTCTCTTGTTCAAAAAAGAATGTCACACTTCATTATTCAAAAATTACGAGAATTTTTGTTTGTTTGTGTGTTTTTCATTGATTTTTTTGATAAAATAAAATATTTTTGTCTGATTTTGTTTTGTAGAATTTTTTAATATACTCCCTCTGTCTGCTATAGATCTTCTTAGATACTCCCTACTATTTATAGGTTCAAACTTGACTCACTTTGATTGCTTATTTTAACCACTCATTTCATAAAATAAAATAGTACTGTCACCTCTAGTTTTGTAGAACTTTTCATGTACTTTTTACTATATAAATTTTATTTTTAAATTTTATCCTTACAATTAAATAAATTAAATTAAAAATAAAGTCGGTCAAACCTCGTAACGTGTAATGAGAAGATCTTTGGTGGATAGAGGGAGTAATATTTTAAATATGTAAGTTTTATTTTTTATTTCTATATCTTTGAACCAAATGAATTGAAACACTTGAAATTGTGCTTCATTTTGCGTAATGTTAAGTTCTTTTTCCAAGAGATGAAGTAAGTGAATTGGCAAAACCAATCATTTGTATCAATTGTTTATGGTGCAATCAATGGGCGTAATATGAAAAATCTTATCTATAACTTCAACAATGTCAATTTGAGTGGTTAATTTTTTTCATAAAGGAGCAAAAAGTTTTGCACTACATGTATATTTCTAAAAAAAAATGAAATAGAAAGTGTTAATTTTTTGAAACATCTACAAATAGATGATTATGTTATCATGATTTCTATCACGATTAGTACAAATTATACAAATATTATCATTTTTGAAATAACATCTATATTTTCTAATGATGATTGTTGTGGCGATTAGTACGAATTGGTTATTGATTTTTTGTTTGTTTTTTAAGTAAATAAATCTAGAATAAAAGTTATTGAACGTATTATAAGATAGATGATGAATTAATTAATAATTTTAAGAATGATCATGGTAATGTTACAAAATTAATAAAATTATTACTCCGTATAACCATTTTTACCGCTTATTTGAACCAGATTTGATCCATTAGTTGTCTTAGATAAGTTCATATTCAATCAGATATCAATTTCGGATGGCCTTAGAAGTATCAGATAAAATCACTCAGCAAATCCACACAGTCGTCTTCTGGAAGAAGTTTTTCTCCGAGAGGATATGGCGGTTTTCACTTCATTGCTCGCAGGAGGCCAGGCTTTTCTTCCGCAGCTCTCCACTACCGACAGCCCCGCCGCTCCTCTGTCCATTTCCCAATCAATTTGTGGTCTTCCTCCGAAGAAAACCCATCGTTTTTCTCGCTGTTCATCTCTCGGGAAGGCATCTCTTCTCGCCCCCAAAGTCTCTGTTTCAGGTGTGAGTGGCTCTAATCCAGATGGGGTTGATCAGCGGCCTCGGGATGAAATCAGGTCAACCAGGGTGGGGTTCTACTACTCTTATTTATTGCTTGTTTATCAATCCATGATTTTTGTTTCGATTATCGATGTACATGTTTCTGGATTATTTTTGTTTTTAATGATTTCTCTTAGCCAGTTAGAGCTCAAGAATTAGCTCAATACAAATATGAAATACAGGATTACTCTGCTGCATACATGATTACTACTTGGCTCAAGAATTAGCCAATCAGGGCTCTTGGGAAGGGGTTTTAGGGGGTAGGATTTGATCGACAAAGCTGGTAAGCAACCTAGTGTATAGAAAACAAGATTATATAAAAAAGGCACATACAAAAAAAAAATTGGCTTATAATCAAAACAAGATTATACGTAACCGAAGTTGTAGGGTGTGGGGGAAACAAAAAATTGGATTTATAATCAAAACAAGGTACTATTTTTTTTCATATGCTATTTCATATTAACTATAATGTGTTTATGGGAATTCAATCTGTATTTAACCTTCTCCTCTGTAGATAACCTTAGATGATATGGCAGTAGTTTCAGTTCTTTAGCATCTCTCTGTACGCTTTCAAATATTAATTTCTTGACCGTCTCCAAAGTGCTAACCAATTAAGCAGCTCATTGTTTGGATCATGAAATGGAAAAAATTAGATGTTGGAACATAAAATTATTTCACTATGCCACTATTTCTTGCATTTGATATATTTTGGGGCATCTAACAATTTGGTATCACAAAGAAGTAGAGGTCTGCTGATTGGAAGGAGGCAACAATTCAGTTTGAAAGAGGGTTGATTTATGAAGGCAAGGTGGAAGGATTTGTTAAAGGTGGTCTACGCATCCGGTTCAATTCCCTTGTGGGGTTTCTCCCCTTCTCAGAGCTGAGCCCCTCACATCAGTGTAAAGGTATAAAAGCTACATTTGTAACACTTCAAATTGAATAATTCTAAGCTTCAATTTAGTTTTCAACATTTAAACTTGCATCTATGATACTCTCTCCGTCCCAATTTAAATCGCTTGTTTGGGTTTACGATGTTTGAGTAAAGTTATTTTCAAATCATTTTATATGAAAAGCGATGTAGAATTAAAAAAAATTATATATTTAAAAACTACATCTAAAGATCTATAAAACTAGTGGTGACATGACTATATTATTTTATTAAATGACTAACGAATATAGGAAAAGAAAGTGATTGAAGTTTGACCATGTAAATAGTAAACATGCAATTTAATTTGGGACGGAGGGAGTACAATTTTATGGACAAGCATGCAAATCAGATAAGGATAATAATCTTCGTTGTATAAGGCTATTTGTAATGGCGGGGCTTGATGGAGTGCCACGTAGGTGGGTGTGTGTGAGTAAAAATATGTGTGTTATTGGGGGGGGGGGGGCTTGACCACCAAGTGATGGAGTGTATGTGTAAATTTTTTTTTAATTGGTTGAGAGATATGTGTGTTAAATTTTGATTGGTTGGAAATATTGAAAAAAATAAAAAAAGAAAAAGGAAGGGGGGTATTTGGCGTGAGGACCATCACTTTCCCAAGGGCCACGCCCTGTCACTTTGGATGTGTAATGGCAAAGGGGCATGAGTGAGGGTTGTCAAGCCCCTCCTCACGCCCCACTATAGATAATCTATGTATTAGTTTCATATAATTATTAACAATTTTCTATTCGAATTGGTACTCCATTTTAGTTCATATTCATTATATCAATATAGTAATAGATTGGGACTCTATTTATTGCTCACCAAGACTATTTGAGCATATTAAAATAATTAAATAGGCTTTACATTCATCAATAGTAGATATGATTGCCAACTTAATTACATAGATGTTGAAAAGATCAAGTCTCTCTAGTTTTGCATCACAGGTGCAACTCTTTCTATGTAGGCTATCAAGGGAGTTTGCCCTATCCTTACCCCGCCCCCAACATTCTATTTAAGAAATTGTTTCTATAGGCACCATGAGGGTGAATGCTTTAAATTTTTCACATGTGCACGATGCAGAATATTCTTTGAAGTTGAAAATGTGAACTGTACTTTTCACTTGTAGTTTGATTCTTTATTAGGAATAATCTCATATGTTTTATGATCCAAAGGTGTCTTCTAATCTAAATCAATCCTAATAATGGATGTGAATTTTTATGGTGGTTCTATACTACACATGCAAGGTCAATTATTGGTTTCTCAGTCATTTTTCTCATTTGTGTTACGCTTATGGAAAGCAAAGGAAAGATTAGTTACTACGGAGTATACAAGAATGCTACTAAATCTTGGGGTTCAATTTTATGTCTACGTGTGCCTTCTACTTTATATCTGATAGTGTCAAAGAACCTTTCATAATGTTACAAAAAAATTGTGTTGACATTTCATGGGCTAGGATTATAATATAGTGTATCATTTTGCAAAAGTTTTCCATCAGTTTGGGATTTTTATCTTATTGTATTGGTCGAGAAGCTAATGCTAAGTTGTGGAAGCACTAAGTTGGTCTAATTTTTCTTTGTATTGTAGAGCCAAACAAAAATATCCAAGAGATCGCAAGCGGTTTGGTTGGTTGCATCCTCCCTGTGAAGGTTTGCTATTCTTTTTGTTGGTAAAGGCTAAATTATATACAACACATGATGATCTCAAATTCCCATTATGTTTTTGTCTTAAACACACCACTGACATATTATACTAGTTAAGGAAATTTAAGATCATCACGTACTGTATTTATTTTAGTGTTTACCTTTCTGTATGTCTTTGTGCCTATGGCTTTACAAATGCTTTGGAGTTAGTTATAATTTAACTCAAGCTTTCATAAGAGGGGGGAGCATTTGGACTTCTCATAGTGCGGTGGCTAAGATTGAGATAGCCTTAAGAAAGGAGATAGTCGTTTTTTGCAAAGGGGGCATCATGGTTATCTTGAGCGAGGATCTTTTAACCCAACACAAACTTTTAGTCTTGGAGTTAAAGAATAAGTTAATGAAGAAAAAATGGAATGAGAAGTTGGTGCATATGTGGTATAAAGGAGTAGCGGAGACACTGATAATGTAAGAAACCTTATAGTTCAGTACATCAAGGAAGCTTCTAGAGAGGTCTTAATTGGTTTGAGGGGGCAAGTCTGGTAGATATGTAGGGGAATGGATGAGTGGTGATGGAAAAAAGAGGTGCAAGAAAAAGTGAAAGCTAAGAAGGTCGTGCATGAGTCATTGGTGGATCGCGTAAACGAGGAGGATTAGGGGAGAAAATAAGAAACCTAAGGAATGTAAGAGAAAAGCAAAGCTAGTGATCTTGATGATCAAAACAGTTGCCTTTGAGCAGTTGTATGAAAAGCTTAAGTGAAGGGGGAAGTAGAGAGTTGTATAGGCTTTCCAAATTTCACCTCTCTCACCTAAGGCACCCGGGCGAGCACTCAACGCCTCAAGGGAGCCAGGCGAGGCGACATCCCTAAGGCGGTCACCTTTCTCGTCTCATTCGCTGCCTCAGCCAATCACCTCTCTCACCTTCCATCTGATCGTTTTTTGGGTATCGACTAGTCTAGAAGATGACGGCTAATCTAAACGATGGCAGTCCCGAGTCGACCCATATTTCATTTAAATCTTGAAAAGGAAAGATGAATTTATATTATATACTCCCTTTTTCCCAAGATTTTATGAAGAGAATATAGTTTGACCTGTGAATTTTGAAGCGAACAAATAAAAGGGACATGGGATTTGTTACAAAAAAATAGTCAAGGCACTCCTTGTTTTATATAGTTTTTATGTAATTTTAAAATTTTCAATTTTATTCTTTAACTTTTACACCGATATTAAATTAAATTGAAAATAAATTTAGTCAAACATCGTAAACAGAAACATGACAAATAAAAAGGAACAGAGGGAGTAGTTAGGAAAGATAAAATCATGACAAGAAACAATAGCTGTTCAGAGTTAGGCCATGAATGAAATTACAAGCCTTTTTATATTTGGCTATTTTTAGAAAAACTTTCAAGTATATCAGAGACTCATGTTTGCCCTATCCCTGTGAATGTGGTTTCTGTAAATTCCTCCAATAGCAGACAATTCATTTTAGTGTTCTCAAGCTGATTTTAAGTTCTAAACCGTTCTATTACTAATTTACTATTGACTCACAATCCCTACCGCAATTTGCTATCAGGCAATCCAAGTTAGTGAAGAGCTGGGGAAGTTGATATTTTCTGAAAAGGAAGCAATGTGGGCAAAGTTTTCTAGTCAAATAAAAATAGGTGATATTTTTGAAGGAAGAGTGCGCTTTGTTGAGGATTTTGGTGCTTTAGTTGGCCTAAGATTTCCGGATGGTATGAATCTTGAAGCATACTCCACTAACTTATGAACTGTTAATTTTTCCCTTCATTAATAGTCCCTCTGTTTCTATTAATCTTTCTAGCTCAACCAAATTACATAGTTTAAGAAAATGTATTGGGATGATAAATTGATCATAAAGTATAGAGAATCGTCTAAAGTACTACAAAAAGGGTAAAAACAATTGTATATTGGGGAAGATTGTTAATGTGCATAGGTTTTACAAATGGCAGATTAAAAGAAAAGTGGCCTTTCTAGACAGATACATAGGAACATAGAAATAAACAGAGTATCATCTTTTTCTGACATTTCACAGATCAGGTTGTATTTCTCTCCTTTTCAATATAGAGCTTCCTTAACCTTCTTCTACAGTTTCGGTATTTAAGTAAAGGGATCACAAATGGCTCTTTCGAAAGTGTGTGCATTGATTGTTTCTGCTAGGAATTTAATTACCGACTTTCTTCAAGTAAGAGAGGTTTCTCATCACATGATTACAATGTATTATAAACCGTGGTCCAGGGTTTTACCACCTTGCTGGCTTTGTTCATGCCTCGGAAGTGTCATGGGATACCATTCATGATGCAAGAGATGTTTTAACAAAGGGTGATGTAGTGAGGGTCAAAGTTCTTAAGATAGATAGGTGATTTACAGTACTAATATACTTTATGTTCATCTCAATCTCAAATTCTATCTTTTTTGGCTGACAATATATAAGAATATATCCAGTGAAAAATCAAGGATTTCCCTTTCCATTAAACAATTAGAGGATGATCCGTTGCTTGAAACACTAGACAAAGTAATTCCCCAGGTGCGAGGCACTTTCTTCATGTGTTTTTCTCGTAATGGTTTTTTTCAAAATGTTTTCTTGTCAGAGTTATTTGTGTGTTGTTGCCATTGATCATGATGGTGAGTAATCTTTCAGATCTTCACAGGATTCTTTGCTGTATCCCAGCACCTCGAGTCCAAAGGATAGTGTTCGTATTGAACCGCTTCCCGGGATTGGAACAATCATTGAAGAGCTTATGCAAGAAGATGGGTATGTACATTAACTTTTACTATTGGTTGAATGTTTGAACTTTTGTTTTTGTAATTAGGATTGGGGACTTCCAGCGTATCATATATTTTTCTCCCTGTCTCCAAAAGAAATTCATGGTCTGACATCACTATTTAAGGAAAGTAAAAGTTAATGGTTGGAATATTTTTTAAAAGAGAAATATTTTGAACAACATATTCATATCCTTAAAAGGAAAGGAGGGAAATGTGAATTTTATTTTGGGACAAACAAAAAAAGAGGTGAACTTCTTTTGCGGACAGAGGGAGTATTGATATTTATAATATGCAAGTGTATTTGATATCTTTGGCCCTGTTTGGCCATGATCTATATTACTCCGTAGTTGTCTATGTTAGCTATTTATGTATTTGGATAGCTGTTCTTAAAAGCATTAAAACAATATTTTTGTAAACGAAGCTTGAAAACACCTGCTCTAAACAGTTTCTCAAAAACCTTTTAAAACATCTTTTTTTGGGTGAAGTAGCTTCCAGGACTACAAAGTTTTAACCAAACACCTCCAATAGATGTCCTTTATAGCACCCCCACCCCACCCTGAAAAAGCTCTTCGCCAAACACCCCTTTGTAGTCCTTGAATATCAAGAAATTCAGATGTTGAAAAAGTACGAAAACAAAATGTTTGTTTGTCAGTTGTCACAGACATTATTCGGGTATTGCATTTATAAATGTAATAAATGTCCCTCACAAGGTAAGCAATGATCTAGTCATGTGCATATGCCGTATTTTCTTGTAACGTCTATTTCCATAATGATCTGTTATTCTGTTCACAGTATACACGACGTAAAACTACGCCGTCAAGGGGTTGAGAAACGCGTCGTTTCACAAGGCCTGCAGCTCTGGATTTCTAATGTACGTTTCTTCCATATCTAGAGTTCGTTTCCATAATCCGTTGTGTTTTTTTTTCCTTTCAATGATAAAAATTTCACAGGAACCACAAGTTGGAGAAAAATTCACTATGCTTGCCCGGGCTGGAAGACAGGTATGCACCCCCACCCCACCCCACCCAAAAGAAAAACCTCCCCTTAAATATCAAATCCCTTGTGATATGTTTCATGCGTATGACAGGTGCAAGAAATACAGCTTACGACGTCCCTAAATCAAGAGGGTATCAAAATGGCACTGCAGCGGGTGTTGGAGCGCATACGATGATTTGTGATTATGCTCCTTGTTGTCAATGAATGGAACCTCAGTTTTTTTCGCTCAATAGCACAAATGCGTTCTTGTATTATCGATCACACTCAAAGTGTATGCTTCGATTGCGACAAAGAATAGGTAATGTGGTAAATTGTTGAATCGAGTTCCGTTTATGGGTGAATAATATAATACTTATTCCCACCCTCTTCAATTGCACCCCTTAAATTTAGTCGACTTTGGAGTCAATTTGACTTCAAAGTCAACTAAATTTAGGCATGCCATGTGGGATTAAGACCCTTGACAACCACCCAAAACAAAAGAGACCCTTCAACTACTTTTATTTAACACAAACACATTGCAGAAAAAGTAACCACAACATGATTTACACTACATTTTTATTCCAGATTTGCCCATTTCCAATACTTTAAAACCCCCCACATACAGCTCAGAATCAAGATGAGTAGATCGAGTACATGAAAACACTACACACACCATGGATTTAGTTGTGGCTGGCTGGCTTAAGGCTCGGCGGTCTCCCCCTTGGCCGCGCAACACCATTTGCACACTCCGTGACTATTCGCGCCACCACAGCAACCAGCATTGCCGCAGCTTCCACCCGGACCGGGCTTGCGGTGGTGTTGGCCATGACCGCCACCTCCGTGGCCACCCCAATGCCCACCATTGTGACCACCTTTATGTCCACCCCAATGCCCACTGTTGTGACCACCTTTATGTCCCCAATGATGGCCATAGCTTTCCGCTAGTCAAGATTGGAAAAATAAAATAAAGTTGCACATTTTTAGTGCTTCCACTTTTTTTACACAGAAAAAAAAATGAAATATCATCCCTTAAAAGAGTCATTTTTCAAATTTTACCCTTCCCATAACAAAGTCGAATTTGAATAAAATAAGCCATTTTTAATCACATATTTTTTATATTAAACATGATTTTACAAACAATTTTATATGTGTAAATACTATACATAAATTAAACAAAAATTCTCCCTCCATTAGGAATTAATTATCCACTTCTATTTTTTCTTCTTTGGAGTTTTTGGTATTTTTCAAACATTTATCATATTTACTAGACAAATGAGTGTGAATTATCAAACATATCCCTAAAGAGCACATCAATGTTTTCATCACACAAGCTCATTTCAAGAATTGTATTACTCCATATCATTTTAGAAAAGTTCACAATTACTTCCAGGCGTAATTGGTATATATTATGTTGTAAAATTAAAAACAAAATTATATCTATTTGAAAATTACATAAAAAAATTCTACAAAAAATAGAATATAATTTGACTATTTATCCTATTAAATCATCAAGAAAATATATAAGATAAAAATTGTGAATTGCTCTTGCTGCTAAATACCTTGTGGTCCAACGGCATCATCTTCGTCGTTGTTTAAAATGAGAGGTCACAGGTTTAAAACTTAAAAGACGGGTTTTCATTTTTTTTATATTTTTAGTAGGTTGTGAAAAAATATATTTATACATATTCTAAATTATAATACTCCATCCGTCCCCCAATTATTAAATAGATTCAAACATATTCAAATGCTGACAAACCTTGTACACTAAACAAGTACGGAGTATTAAATAAATTGGATTGAAAACAAAATTTTCTCAATATGCATCACGAGGCTTGACGCACTTTATTTTCAATTAAATTTATTTTATTGTAAGTGTAAAACTTAAAAATTATATATATATAAAAATTAAAAACTACATGAAATGTTTTTCAAAACAAGAATTGTGACAAGACTATATCGTTTTATTGAATGACTAGTAAATTTAAGTAAAAAAAAGTGAGATAAATTTAACCATGTACGTAAATAAAGTCTAGCTAAGAAGATCTATGAAAACTTACTGCCAAATGAAGCTTGAGTAGTAGTCTCAGCCAATTCCCTGGCCGTAACCTCAGAACCAATCAGGAGAAAAACAGCCAAAGAAATGCAAAGAAGAAGAAAAGCCTTTGAACCCATTTTCTCTTTCCTTTTCTCAGAGATGTTTCCAAGGAAAAGTTTGGTTGAGTGTGTGAAAAAAGAGTGATTCCCATTTATATAAGACCATAGAACGTGGGCTGGTCACGTTTACTAGAGCTGATCTCAATAATGGGTCTGTGGGGCCCCTCCTCCTCATGGTTTTGCTGGTGGGGTTGTTGAGTTCATCATGCATTTCTTAACTCTATGCATAATATATACAGATCAATCAATATTTTGAAATATCTTGACTTGTTGGTAAGTTAATAGCATTGCGGGCCCCCACCCCTTCACTACCCGCCCCCAATCCAAAGGCTATGTTTGGCTGAGGAAAGGGGACGGGTCGGGGTGGGAATGGATAAGATGAGGGAAGGAGAAGAAGACGGCTGAGACCGACTAGCCTACTGATGACCTCAATCACAACGGCAGCGGCCTCTGGCAAGGGAAGGCGAAAACCCCAATTGGGGGAACAATGTTTAGGACAATGGGGGAAATGGGAGAGGAGATTTTGGGTTCCCTTCTAAAATTTTAGACCAAACAAGGGAGAGGCTCATTTTCTCTCGTTTCTCCCCCAACCAAACATGTCCTCAGAAAAACTTAAGCTTGATTCATTCCAGTAATAATTTGTTCTCTTCAGCTTATTATTATTATTATTGAAATCAGATCATATCAGAAACAATTTTAAATATAACTATAATTAGATTCAATTAGATCAGACGAAGAGAAGAAGTTGTAAGTGTTAGGGAGGAATGAGTGTGAGTGTTCTCCAAGACTCATGTGATGGAATAATGACTATGCTATTACTATGTATGTTTTGGAGATAAGAATATATGGTGGTATATATTCATGTTAGATGATTATTGATGTAGATGTCATATGACTTTAATTATTGAAAGCTTCCATTGTTTAAACAAAAAACACTAATTTTTAAAATTAGTAGGAGTATTATTTATTTAAAATGTGAGGATGCTAATTTTTTTTGAACACTAATAAATCTATTACACGTTATACCTCTCATTTGGGAGAGTCATAGTGATGAAATTAGACTACAATGTCCTTGGCACTAAATTATTAAATCTTAAAGAAAAAAACCGAGGCAATTGTTTCCCTCCAAATAATTCATTCATAATTATAAAACAACTTCTTTTAAATGAGTGTATTGAATATACTCCCTCCGTCTCAGAGTATTTTGTCCATTTTTAACTTTTTTGGTAAAAATTAACAAATTCTAAATCTAAGTTAAATAAAAATGATATTAGATATTGATATATAAATAATTTTATTAGATTTAATATATAAAATATTTTCAAAAAAATTATTTAATATAATTAATATACAACATATATTTTATTTAATTAGAAGTCAAAGATTGAAAATAATTGATTGAAAAAAAATCAAGAGTCGACAAATACTCTGGGACGGAGGTAGTATTAATTTACTGTTAGGAAAAATATTTGATAGAAAACATTCTCCTCTTACTTTCTCATTCACAATGAACCGTGCAAAAGTCACAATACATTAACTTTGTCACGGAAATCATACATTTCACCCATTTTAATATCAATGTCTCATAGACAATTCTTGCATTGTGAATATGTGTCTATGAAACATTATGCTATCAAAGGTGCTATAAAATGTTTGTTTTTAAATCTTGTTTCAGAATATATAGGGGAAGTATCTGGACGGACTAAGAGGTCTGAACCATTAAGTGTTGAACCAGTAAGAGGTCTGAACCATTAAGAGCTAGTATATTGCTTAACTATTCAGAGGCAATTGTCTAATCAATTCAGATAAGAGGTCTTAACCATTCAGACTCTGTATAATACTTAACCATTCAAAGGCAAATATCTAAACCATTCAGACATCTAAACCATTAAGAGCCTGAAACAAACAGTCTGAACAATTAAGTGTTGAACCATTCAGACATCTGAACCATTAAGAGGCTGAAACAAACAACCCTTAGAGCCTATTCTCTTCACATGATCTGATGATCTGATAAGAATAAGTTTTGATCTGGTCTAATTCAATCTAAATGTAGTTATATTTAAAGTTGTTTCTGATCTGATTTTGTCTGAATTTAATTGGTTCTAATAAGAATAAATAATAACTAATAAGTAATAAAAATAAATTGAAGATAACAGACTCTTAGGAGTGTGTGTTCAGGTCAGGTTCAAGTCTGACCCATATTACTTTTGTTTCTTCATAAGGTCCCGGTTAATTATAATTTCTATTCCCCTCAGTTCTAAAAAACTTTTTTTATTTTGACTTTTTTTGTCAAAAAATATTCTTTGACCATAAATTAAACATAATCCAAATAAATAATTCTTATCAAAATTGATATATCAATACTATCCTAAGAGGACCCCAACTATATTATAACTTATATTATAATCAATATACTTTTCTCTTAATCTATAAGTAAAGAGAGTCACTGTTTGACAAAAAAATTAAAACAGGAAGAATTCTTAGGAACGACGAGAGTACGAGTGTACGACCCAACCGGTTTGGGTTCGGGTTGGGCATGGCTAGGGGATCCAGGTTGTGGTGTTTGGTTGGCCTGGTCAGGTTTCAACTCGGTTAGACAATCCATTTAACAAAACTCAGATTTCGAATGTTTTACTCAAATAATATAGAGAAGCAGTAATGTGGACGAGAAAGTTCCATCACAACTCAGATACATGATATGGAGTAGCAGACAGCAAAACACCCACTTTAATTTTACATCATAAATCAAATGTGGAGTATTTATATAAGAACGCAACTTACTTATACATCAATTACTTACACTAGTTCATTTATATATTTACGATGCCCATTGGTAAAAATAATGATTTCTACTCCTCTAACCTCCCCCTTAAACCTCCCGTCCCTGCCCCACCCCTGCCCCCTCCCTATCCTGGAGTATAAATATCACATTAAGTTGAAAAAATGAATTTCATCCTTAAGAATTTCTCAGAATCGATCGGACAGGAGCACTTTATATTTCTAGTATCTTCATGCTAAGAGGCACTTTCTAGCATTCCCTTGATCTTTGGGCTTAGACACCATCAATTCATCCCTTCACATAGGACTGGGTTGGGAAAAATCGAAAATCTAAACCAATCGAACCGAAAAAACCGAAACCAATTGTAAAAAAACCAAATCGAATCGTTAATATTTGGTTTCCGTTTTGGTTTTCACTTTGGAAAATCGATCCGAACCGAGTAAACCGAACTTTCTTAGGCAATTCGCTTTATTTATATGAGTATATGTAATATGTAAAAAAATCATAGAAATATAAATTCAAATTGTTGA